TAAAAAAATAAAAAAAATAAAAGATAAAAATATTAATAAAGTTTTGAAAAAATACTAATTACCTAAGGATGGGATTTTTAAAAGTTTTAAATTGTAAAATTTTAAGAAATCTTTAGATGACGAATTTCTCTAAATTTATCCAAAATGATAGAATAATTTAGATGAAACTTTAATAAAAGTAATTGTATTATTTTTCAAATAAAAAATTTTGATTGAAAATATTTAACAATTATTTAAGGATGAGAATCTTAGAAATTTTAAATGGTAAATTTTTTAAGAAATCTTAAGGTGAGAAATTTCTTTAAATTTGTCCCAAATGATAGAAGAATTTAAATGAAATTTCAAAAAAAATAATTGTCATATTATTTTCTTTCAAAAAAAGAAATAAAAAGAATTTCTAAATATGTCTAAATTGTGAAAAATTTAAAAATTAAAAATATTATTCCAAATGGTTTTTTTCAATCTTTAGGAGTGAAATTTCTTTAAATTTGTTCCAAATAGAAGAATTTAAAATGAAATTTCAAAAAAAATAATTATCATATTATTTTCTTTCAAAAAAAGAAATAAAAAGAATTTTTAAATAGGTCTAAATTGTGAAAAATTTAAAAATTAAAAAAATATTTTTAATTTGATCAAAATGATGGAATAATTAAATATATTTTCAACAAAAAAACCAAAAAAATAAAATAAAAATGATTAAATCTTTTGTTTCGATGACGGAGCCTCATCACGAAAATAAATGAAATTTTTTTTAAGAGTTCTATTAGATTGATGGAAAATCTTAAAAATTATTTTTAATATTTTAACATAAAAATATAAAACCATTAGAATCAAAATCTTATGATAAATTTAAAATAAAATGGTACCATCCTGTGGATGGGTATATATGGGTGCTATAACATTCCCCACATGTAACTAAACTTTCAAACTTTATTCTGGTTAGTAGACCTGAACTTTTTTTTTTAGACCCTTAGTCAAGCTTAGGAGCTCCTTAAAATGGTAAATTCATTAGGTGGCTAATTACATTTAGTTAAAAAAGATTGGTGGTAATTCAATTTGTTAAGTCTAGCTATAAATTTTTGGATTTATATATTATGACAATCATGTTTATTTGTGTTATGTTATGTTATTTGTATCATGTTCAAACGAGAATTATACATATATTAATCACGTCATATAATGTGCAATACTTATATTTAGATCTGACAATTTAAAATATGATACGGTGATATAATACGAAAATAATACAACTAAAGGATACGAAAATAATAATGCTTAAAATTTTTGAAAAATCATAAATATGTTTAATAAAATCAAAAAATTATATTTTATATTTTTATATCGACATAATCTGTAACATATAATTTTCGTATAAAATATAATACAAATATAATATTTTACATAATATAATAACCTAAATTATTGTATCCATTTATAATAAATATGTCATATTTAAATTTAAAAATATTTTATAATTTATATCATATTTATATTTTAATAATTTGTATCAATTCCAGCCATGTATCAACACCTAAAGTCACAGCCTCTAATTAAACGAACCAAACCTACCCTTGAAAATAAATCCACCACCAAAAGGCAAAGGACCCTCTTCTAATTACCAAAAAACCGAAAAAATAAAAGAAGAATCCCCTTTGCTGTCAGTCTATCCTTTACATGAGTATCATCATAATCACTTACCATATAAACTAATTTCGGTTACAGTCCTCACAATAAAATATGAGAGAACACAATGCTTCTATTCATGGGTTGATCAGAACCGGGCTTATCTATAGGATATTAATAGGTTTTAAATTTATTCAAGTTCGGCTCAATCAGATAGGGTCAAATATAAAAATTATTTTTATACTATATATTTTTTTATTAATTTATTAATTAAAGAAATAAAATTATTAGTATAATATTTCAACTTTTATTATGTTGTCCATTTTAGTGTATGAAATTAACGATGTTAATCAATTTGTTAATGTGATATGAATATATGATAAAAAAATTGACACGTGATAAAAAATTTAGTTAACGTTACATTATCAATTATTATATTAGTATTAAAATAATTTTTTTTAAAAAAATTATAAAAAAATTATAAATTTTTAAAAAAAAAACTAAAATATTTTTAAAAATTATTAAAATATTGAAATATTTTAAAAAAATTTTAAATTTTTGAAAAGTTAAAAATTTCAAAAATCTAAAAATTTTAATAAACATCCAAAAAAATTCAACAACTTTTTGAAAAATTTAGATTTTTTAGTTTTCAAAATATTTCAAAAAATTTTAAATTTTTTTAATTTCCAGTTTCTTAAGTTTTGTAAATCTTTTTTCAATTTTAAGAAATTTTATTTTGTAGAATTTTTTTATTTTTTATTAAAATTTGAAAATTTTTTGAAATTTTCCTATTTTTTAATTTTTATAATTTTTAAAAATATTATAGATTTTTTAAAAATTTTGAATTTTTCAGATTTTTTTTTTAATTTTTTTTCTTGCTAATGTAATAATTGATGATATAGTATTGATTGAATTTTTTTACATATATTAACATCTTGTTGGATATTTATGTAACATCAACAAATTAATTAATAACGTTAGTATGAGATATCAAAGTGATTGATATAATGAAGGTTGAAGTATTATGCTGATAATTTTATATCCTTAAATACAAACATGGTATAATACAAAATTCATTTTTATATGTAACTCAATCAAATAATATTAGTCTTATTTGCTACTAAAATCAGATTCTAAATGAAAGTAAATTGTTTAAATTCGTCCAAGTGGGCTCAGATTATATTTTTTAAAATAAAAATAAAAATAAAGTTTATAATTAATATTAACTTTGATAAAATAAATAATCAACAAAATAAAATTTAAAAAGATGACTTTGTTAAATTAATTTGATAATTGAGAGAAACTGAATACATATAGGCATATATATTAATGGGTATATGCATATTTTTTACGTATTTTTATATAATATAATTATAAATATAAAAAATATAACTATCAAATCCAACTAAATCTAAACCTTAAATATTATGTCTAAAACTCAATTTAAACTCATGCTTATTTAATAAGTTTAATATTTTTATTGTAACTTTCTCAAATTTCAAATAAACCTTTGTACTTGAACAAGTGGCCCGATCCATAAATAAGACTACTCACAACCTCGTCCTGAAACAAATCAAATCATACTAAATCAAATCAAAATTCGATTTTTTTTCAAAAAAATAATTTTTAAAAAATAATCTTTGTATTTTCAAATATTTACTTGATAAAAAATTGATTGATCAATGAAACATAATTTTTTAATCAATAAAAAATGAGGTTATTTTTATTGACATTGTCTTTTTATTTTCCAAAGGGGAAGACAATTTTCAAAAAAATATTATTTATGAGTAAAATTGTCTATAAATGTATTTAAACATAATTTTATTCAAATCAGATCTTATACATGATATTTTAAAATTTAAACTTAATTTGGTTTGATTTAAAATATTATTATATTAATAAATAATATATTTATTTAATTTTACTTAAAAAAATATTAATATTGCATTTTTTTTAATTTTATATATTTTGATAGTTCTATTCAAATAAAATTTTGAATATAATATTTTAAACTCAAATTTAATTTAATTCGACTTGAAATATTATTATATTAATAAAAATATTTTATTTAATTTTAATTAAAAAATTAAAATAGTAACATTAAAAGTTTTTGGATATGTTAATGTTAAATATTTTTATTTTGTATATTACTAAATATAAAATATTTCGGTTATAAATAGTATTATATTATTATAATAAATAATAACATATATAATAATATTTTTATTATTTTAATAATTAATTTTAAATAATATAATATTATTATTTTTATGAATATTTTTTATAATTTCTTATTATTTTCTAGTTTAAAATATATAATTTTATATTTTATTTATTAAGATTTTTATATTACTATTTAAATAATAAATAAATAACAAAGTTTTTGTTATGATTTAATAATAGATACTTTCAATGTAAAATATAAATATTTTAATAATAAATATTATTATTTTAATATTAATAAAATAATATTTTAAAATAGTAAACTATTTTAAATATTTAAAAAATATTAACATAAAGAATAATAAACAGTTTTTACTTTAAATATTTTATATTAATATCAATATTTTAATATTAAATATAATTATTAAAATATAATTATTCTTTAATATTAATAATTTTAATAATAAATAATTTTAATATATTTTAATAATTATATTAATATTATTTTTTAAAAAAATTATCCAAAAACAATGAAATAATAAAAAATATTTTTTATTAACTCAATCAACCAATAAAATATTTTTACTTTTCAAAAAAATATAATTTTTAAAAATTAATATGTACGAAACAAATCAAACACAAACCTAACCCTTGAATCCCACCACATCTAAAAGGCAGAGGACCCTTTACTTGACACCAAAAAACCTAACTTAACCTTAGGACGTGACTACTGACAGCCTCCTCATCAAACAAACCAAACCTACCCTCCACCACCCATAGGCAAAGGACCCCTCTACTCATTACCACAAAACCTAAAAAACAAAAAGAAACCCATTCTTTTCATGACCACCGTTACGGTCACTAAACTCATTTCGGTTACAGTCTTCAAAATAAAATGCAAAAAACATCCACAATGTATAACTTAAAATATGCCAGTAAAATTTTAACAATTTTTTTGCAAACACTTGGTACGTTGAAATTGAAAACTACAAATAAATTATTAAACTTAATTAAACAAATAGCGGAGTGATCATTTCATGAAATTTTAAGTTTAAATTTTATTATATCTAAATTTAATTAATCATATTTTGATTAATTAATTAAATTATTCAATGATTTCTGAAGTATGATTATAGTATATATGATCGTTTGTGGTTATATTCTTATAATAACAATAGTTAGGTGACGATTGAGTGGAGCACGTGGACGGCCAACCACTTTCCTGACGACTGTGCGTCTTATTCACTAAAATATCTTTAACCATTATTCAAAGAACATGTGAAATTCCAGTAAAATTTATCATTCAGTCGAATGATTGTGCTCTGAAAAGAAAAAGCGAAGGGTGCAAAAAAAAAAAAAAAATCCTACTTTTGAATTAAATGCATATTTCTTTAAATTGGTTGAGATTTGTAACCCCCTCTACTAAAAAACCTCCTCGTTTTCATCTCAGTTGCTTGCCTTCTTCTTCGTCTTGTTTTTCTTCAGTGGTTTTTGCAATGTCTTATGATAAAGAGATCGCTGCTGCCAAGAAAGCTGCCTCTTTGGCTGCTCGTCTCTGCCAGGTTTCCCTTTTTCACCAAAAACCCTTTTTCTCTGCATTTTCTGTTATGGGTTTTTAGTATTTTTCTCATATCATTAGATTTTTACTTGAAAATCTGTGTTTTTTTTCGCTATTGTTTTCATTTGGTATAATGACTTTTCCTTGCACAGTATGTTTGTGTAATTTTACTTTGCTTCAAAACGTAATTGCAGATTCTTTGGAATTATCAACCTGTCTAATGTTAGGGGTATTGAAGTCACCGAATTGTATATTTGTATCTCACTTTTTCAGTTTAAGTTTTAGGCTTTTCTTGAGAATTACCATACTTTATATGAAAGGAAATATATATATATATATGTATATATATATCTATGGTGATGCTTCTGAAAATTTTGATAATATAAAGCTGTTAATGTATAGAATCTGAATTTGGTTTTTGGGTGTTTGTTTTTAATCTTCAGAAAGTGCAAAAGGCTTTACTTCAATCAGATGTTCAATCCAAAAATGATAGAACTCCTGTAACAGTTGCTGATTATGGTACGTTTCTGAAACTTTCTTTGTGCCTTCCTCTTAAGTTAATCACCAGTTATTCACCTGCTACTATAATATATAAATATATATATATATTATATTAAATATGCATCTTGGATTAAAATGGGTTTCCATTCCTTTGTTATCTGGGTGATTTACATGCTTCTTTCATATTGTTACCATGATATTTGCAGTTTAGTTGTTACTACTAGGGAATTTGCTGAGTTGTATGATGTTTTCCTAGCTGCATTAAGCAAATTTTTCTATTGAAAGAAAATTTTTTTTTTCTGGTGAATCAAAATGCCATAGTTTGTCCAAAGTGAAAAAATATTATAGTTGTGCTATATGTAGTGCTTTGTTTGATGAGCATATCTCAATTGTCATTACATTGCCCTGTAAGACATTAGCTTGCTCAATAGTTACCTCCTATTTTACCTTCCTCTAAAGTCATCTGCCCTTTCCTTACATATCAGAGTTTAGCGGGAAACGTGATCATAACTTATATTTATTGTTTATGCTTATTTATATTATGTACTTGTTAGATGATGCATGTGTCATATGCGAACTGGTTTGATGCAACGATTTATGAAATTTGCTTTTTATATTTTAGACTGTTTATCCATCAAGTTTCTGGTTTAAATTTTTTTTATATTCTTGACCTCAGCATCTTTCAGCTTTTGGAGTTGGCAAATCTTAACTGATAACTAACATGTTTCCTTGACATTTTTAAATTTTCATCAGGCTCACAAGCACTGGTTAGTTTTATGCTGCAGCACGAATTTCCTGGTGAATTCTCATTAGTTGCCGAGGAGGTAAATCTTTGCTCTTCTGGAGAATAGTTTCAGGAACATTCATAAGCCATCTTCTTTTTTCCTTTAAATTGTAGAATTTTTTGTTCTTTTCCTTCTAAATATGTTTTGGGTTTTCTTTAGGATTCTAAAGATCTTCGCAAGGATGGTGCCCAGGAAATAGTAGAGCGCATTACCAAACTTGTGAATGATTCTCTAACTATTGATGGATCATACAGTGTTACTTTATCCACAGAAGATGTTCTCAAGGCCATTGACAGTGGCAAATCTGAAGGTGGTTCCCAAGGTCGACACTGGGTTTTGGATCCTATAGATGGTACTAAAGGGTGAGCTCTGAAACTTACTATTTGGCATGAGTGATTTTGCTTTAGTCATAAAGACATTGGTCTCTGATATAATAGTGATTTATGTTCACCAAGTGCATTATGGTTTGTTATATGCCTTATCCAACATAAGGGGTTTTAGTCTACTTCCAACTTCACTCCTTAGCTCAGTTAAGATTAATGCAGGGGAATGTTTAGATTTTCTCTCTATTTTCTGTTATTTAGTGCAGAAGGATTGATAGGAGATAGAGGAAAAGAGGTGCCTTAAAAATACTAGATGCAAGACAAACCATAATTCTCTCTTGGTTTTGCATGGCCAGACCTTTGAATTTAGTGCTTTAGAATTAAATGACTGGTCCCAGCTAACCTTAGCTTATTTATCTAATTATCTTCCTTTTATCTTTTTTATATATGTTGTGTTTGTATTTCTTTATAATTTGCTTTGAAAGAAATAGCTGATCTTTTTGTTTATTTTCATCTTTGGATTTCTAAATAATGATCTCTACTGTTTTCCAGTTGATAAAATGATCTTTTATTCTGTTTTTGTGTGCTTATAGACCAATTTTGAAGAATAAGTATGCTTTTTGATATTTTACATTAGGTTTCTAAGAGGAGATCAATATGCAATAGCGTTGGCTTTGCTAGACAGAGGAAAAGTTGTTTTGGGTGTGCTGGCTTGTCCAAATCTTCCTTTAGCTTACATCAGTGATGCTAATCAGCACTCTCCAAATAATGAAGTTGGTTGTCTTTTCTTTGCTGAAGTTGGTGGAGGAACTTATATGCAGCCACTTGACAGTTCTTCAACGGTGAAGGTTGTAATGATTTATTATAATTTTATTGCCATTATTCTGAGTGCGAACTTGCAACTTATACATGTTTGTGGGATTCAGGTGCAAGTAAGTGCTGTTGAAAATCCTGAAGAAGCATCACTCTTTGAGTCATATGAAGCAGCACATTCCATGCATGATTTATCTAGTTTAATTGCCCAAGTATTCCTCTCTCTCTCTCTCTCTCTCTATATATATATATATATATATATATCTTTCTCTCTCCCTCTACATATATAAACACATTTTAAGTTTTATTTTTGGATAATATACTGAACATTGGGATGTAAACAGAAACTTGGCGTCAAAGCACCACCAGTTAGGATTGATAGCCAGGCAAAGTATGGTGCTCTTTCCAGAGGAGATGGAGCCATTTATCTGCGTCTTCCTCACAAAGGGTACCGAGAGAAAATATGGGATCATGCTGCTGGGTATATTGTTGTGACTGGTATGGACCAATATCTCTCTCAACTTAAGGTGTAGGGTAGGAATGTAATGGTTAGTTATTAGGCAGGCATTGGCTTATTCATCGCATCACTGCCCTTATTGGGTTGTGCCTTCCCCTATCTATTCTTGCATTTAATACTTTTTGACAAATCTCTTTGCCATTAATCTTTTGCAGAAGCTGGGGGTGTGGTCACTGATGCTGCTGGGAACCCATTGGATTTTTCCAGGGGAAAGTATCTTGATCTGGATACAGGCATCATTGTTACCAATCAGAAGTTGATGCCATTACTCTTAAAGGCAGTTAGAGAATCCCTGGAGGAGAAAGCTTCATCCTTGTGATTCGATTTACAGGCAGGGTTTTTTATCCTTTCCTCATTTAATCATTTATTTCCTTTGCTTTCCCATCAAGGCAAGGGCCCCTGGCTTTAATGCATCTATTTTTGGTGTGAAAATTTCGTGGTTATCCTCAAAATAGGGCGCCCTACTTTATGAGGCAAAAGCTTATGGGTCCAAACTCCTTAATGGCATTGCATTTGAAGTTGCATTTGATTGCAGCCAGTGAATTTTAACGCAATTGCAATAGCAAGCACCATTAAAATTGTAATATAAAATCCCAATTTTGGTTAAGTTTTTATTTTTCCCAAATGCAGTGTAAACAATTTTTATTAAATTATTAAAAATATAAATGTCCTAATTTATTTTTTTTGTATTGACAAATAATTCTGAGTCTAACTATAAAGTAAATAAATTTTTTATTTTAATTATTTCGGAATCATGTTCATTTCAGACATGTTATCTTTTTTACATTAGTTTAACCAAAGCAATGCCAAACGCTTGCCTATTAAAGCATTGTTTTCATTGCAAACAATAATCGTCGACTGCAAAAATTATAGTAATTAATATTCATGCGTTGTTTCGAGTAAAATATTTTGGTTTTACCATTTTTATTAATTTTTTATTTAAAAATTATTTAACTAAAAGAATAAAAGGAAAAAAAAATAAACGGGAATAAACCATGTATATTTTAATTGTTTTCCTTTTCTTATAAAATTAATCTAATAAAAAATAAATGCTAAAAACAAAACAAAAAAAAAAAAAAGAAAAGTGGAAACAGGAGTAAATGAGACAAAAAAAAAACATAAAATCAGAAAAAAGAGCTCATGAAGGATGTTAATTGACATCCTATATTGAGTTTTAAATATTAATTTTTAAAATAAAGATAATAAATTATTTTATTAATATAATACATATATAAAACAATAAAATATATAGTAAAATATATTTTTATATATATTCATATAGAAAAAAATACTTTAAACTTACGTTCATTTTGTGTCCTATTTTTTTTTAAAAAAAACTCAATTCGATTTCAAAATTTGAGAAAACCAAATTATTGGATTCGGAATTAAAATTCATTTAATAGGAGTTATTTTATCATTTATACTTCAATTAACTTTTATCTTTAAAAAATTTTATTTGCCAATTTCTTTTGTTGTTATATTTATATAATTAAAAAAACAAAAAAAAAAGAAGGAAAAAACTGAAATTCATCGCCATGTGGACACATCCATTTACTCTTTTCTTTCAAACAATTGATGTAATAAAAAAGGAAGAAAAATTAAAAAAAAAAAGAAAAAAGAAAAGATGAATAGCAAAATGAAAAGAAAAAAAAAGGTTGAGTTGCCATGCAACACTAAAAATGAGGAGTTGTTATGCAAAATTTATATCATGAATTTTTTAAACATAAAAACTAATAAAAATGGTTAAAAAAAGTTAAATTTGGATCAAGGATTTAAATAGCAGTTTAAAAACGGAATAACGATCGTAAAATAGTGGTAGCATCACTACCCGCCACAGCTATTAGACAAAACACGATTGTAAAACTCATTCACGACAAAAACAGAGTGTAACAATCGTAAATAACGGCTTAACGGAGAATAGCGACAATAATGGACTGTTATTGACCGCTATTCCGTTTTCCTACACGGATCTAATAGTTCGAGAAAAAAATAAAATTTCAAGTTTCAACCATTCAGTATTTCGACACCCAAATTCAAATCAGCATCAAATTTTCAATCAACATTCAAGATAAAAAAATGTAAGAAAAGAAAGTTAAATTACCTTTTTTTTTGTAAAATAATTTGTTGTGAGAGTTTGAGACTTGAGTGAGACAAATGAGGTGTACTGGATAAGTGATAATGATGAAAAGATGCGAGAAAAAATGAGAGATGAAAAAAAAAAAGAAAGAAGAAGAAATTTTTGAAAAACAAAGCTTTGGACGCACGAAGAAGATAAACAGAAGCTAGTTCTAGATGGTTCTGCTGTCCTGCTACAATTAAACATTTGAGGGGCATTAAGGCAAGCACGTAAGGAGGGATTGGGTAGGATGGGGAGGGATGGGTGGGTGGGTTGTAGGGGGTGGGGAAGGGATTGGGTGTGGTGGGGTGTTGGGCGGTGAGAGTGGAATTTTGTATTTAATTTTGTAATTAATTTTTAAAATTTTTTAGATAAAATTTAATTAGAGTTTAAAAATTTATATTAAAAAAAAGAGATTAATAATTTAATAAATATATATAGAGATTTTAGATGAAAAATTTTGATAAATTTTTTTGTATAAGTTAGATGAAAAATAATTAAAATAAATATTATATTTGATTGTGTTATAATTTCATTTATAATTTTGTATCTGAATTTAATATTTTTTTGTTGTTTTGATATTTATTGTTGTCAATTTTTTTGATATAGATTAATTCTGTTATTTTGTGTAATTATTGAAGATTGTATTTATTATATAATATTGAAAGTTATTTGTGACAAAGAATTTATATCAATTAGTGTATCAAAAGATTAAGTTATTTAATAAATTTAGCATTTTATGATCTATTACTCTTACTAAGATTAAAACTAAAATAAAATATAGGTTTGAAAATATTATTAAAATATAAGTTTGAAATTTTTAATTTTTGAAATTTTTTTAGATAAAATCTAATTAGAGAGATTGAAGGTTTATAATTAAAAAATTAAGGGATTAATATTTAATATAATATATATAGAGATTTTATATGAAAATTTTGATAAATTTTTTTTATAAGTTAGACACAAAATTAATTAAAATTAAATATTATATTTGATTGTGTTATTTATTAATTTATAATTTTATATGAAATTTAATAATTTTTTTGTGAATAAACCAAATATGAATGCTTTTATAATCTAAATAAAATTATTAATATTTTTTAAAAAAAATAAAAAAATAGTGTCATAAACTATTTTTAAAATCATTGAATAAGAGTTTTTATAATTATAATTATAATTATAATTATTACATTTTATATAAATTGTGCAAAAAAAAATTTACGACCGTGATGATCGCAGTGACTACAAAGATCTCCGTTATATCTGAAAACACGATAAACACGACGCAACCGAAAACGTGACTGCGACCGCTATTTAAATCCCTGATCTGGATGCTATGTGAAAATTTTCATTAATATCATTTTTTACAAAATTATTAAAAAAATAAAAGAAAAGAAAACTATGAAAAAATAAATATTTTAATCAATAATATTAAATGAGTCCCACAAAAGAAAAAATTAAATATATTTATTAAATATAAAAAAGAAAAAGTAAATAAAAAAAAGTAAGATAGAGAAAAGAAAATGAAAAAAAATTAAGGACTTGACATATAATATCAAATGAGCCCTACAAAAGAAAAAATTAAAATAAAAATTTTTTAAATATAAAAAAATTAAAAAATAGGAAAAAGAAAGTAAAAAAAGAAGGCTTAACATGTAACACTCCACAGGACCACACAAAAATTAAATATTTAAAAAATCTATGAAATATAAAAAATAAAAAATAGTAAATAGAAATAAAAAGAAAATAAACCATAAATTGACAATTATAAAGTGAAATATGTAAGATTTATATATAGTACTAAAAATAGACATGTGTGATGTCGCGGGTTCAATCTTTTTATAAATGAAAATAAATATTTTATTTTAATAATTTATAATTTATTTTAATTTTTTTGATATTTTGATATAAATTTTAAAATTTAGTATTCTAGAAAAACTATATCTAACAAAAAAAAATCTAAAACAAAAATCATAAAAACTAAAAATAAATAAAAACAAAACAAAATAAAATAAAATAAGAAAAAATGAGCTCATGGAGGGTGCCATATAATACTCTAATTGAATTTAAAATATTAATTTCTCAAATTAAAGTATCAAATAATAATTTTATTAATATAATATATATAATATAAGATTAAATTAATAATAAAATATATACTAATATATATCCTAAAATGAGTTGAGATAAAATACCTTAAATACACTTTTGTCCCAATCTTGTACCTCATAAACAAATTTAATCCATCCTAACACAATCTCAATTTTAAAAAATCATCCCCTATCAGATTTAGATGAATCAAAACCCATTGAATACAAAATAGTTTGACATTTTATCAATCAACATTTTTGTTGTAAAATTTATCTAGTTAAAAAATACAAAAAAAAGGTGAAAGAGAAAAAAAAGTCAAATGAGGTTACCAAATGAGCATCTCCATTAATATTTAAAAAAAATTAATTTAATAAAAAAGGTATAAAACAATAAAAACAAAAAAGGAAAAATAAAAAAATAAAAAAAATGAGTTCATTATGGTATTATGTAGACATCTCAACTGAGCTTATAATATTAATTTTTAAATTAAGATATTAAATAATAACTTTATTAATAAAATCATAAAAAAGAAAAATAATTAAAAAAGAAAAAAAAAGATCATTGAAGTTTTGATATCAACATTCAAATTGACTTTAAAATGTTAATATTTTAAATTAAGGTATATAATAATAAATAAATTATTATATATATAAATAAAAATTAAATAGATAATAAAATATATAATTTTATTTATTCCACGAAATGGTTTGGAGCAGAGTACCTTAAATCTACTCTTGATCCATCCTTACTATAAAAAAATCGACTTGACTTTGACTTAGTACTGTTTTTTTACAAAAAAAAAAAAAAAAAACTCATATAGAATCGAGATGGATAGAAGCTATCTAATACTAATTGTTTTAGTATCCTTATCGATGAGCTTATTTTGTTAAAAAATTGATCTAATTTTAAAAAATAAAAACAAAAAAAAATGAAAGGAAATAAACAAACAAGGGTGCTACATAAACACTTATGTTGACTTTTATTTTTAACAAAATTTATCTAATAAAAAAATAAAAAAGAAAAAAAATCATCCCCTATTAGATTAAATCAAATTGAAGTTCATTGTATATGAATTATTTTGCAAACCTAACTCGTTTACTTCTTTTTATTGCAAATTTTATGTAATTAAAAAAATAAAAAAAACCATATTAAAATGCCATGTGGATATTTTCATTGGATTTTTTAACAAATTTATATAACTTAAAAATAAAAAAAGTTGAAAAAAGTAAAAAAAATAAGATGTCATGTCGATACCTTAAAAGTCAAAATAAGTAAAATTTATATAATAGATGGATTAAATCTTAATTATGTATAAATATTGTATTTTTATTAAATGAAGATAATAAATAATAATTTTATTAATATAATAATATATAAATATAAAATGAAATAAATAATTAAAAAAATAATATATATACTCGAGTAAATACACTAAATTCTTTTCCAACCATATTGAAATTTGTAAAATGAAAAAACCTCGATCAATTCTCAATTATTTTTTAACATTCACGTATTGCTTCAAGCCAAATAGAAACACATTAAGTATC